CCTCCTCTCTCTCTCTCTCTCTCTATCTCTCTCTCTCTCTCTCTCTCTCTCTCTCTCTCTCTCTCTCTCTCTTTCTCTAGATATAGATATAGACATAGATATATAGATATATATCAGCTAGATTACTAGATTAGTCATCTTACTGTCTGAGGGTAGGAAGGGATGCCAAAATCACACATAAGGAATGGGAAGTCTTCTCTCAGTGAAGTGGAATAGACAAAAAAGTATCTACTATAGTCTAGAGAGGAATTGTAGCATTCTTATAAAATATAAAATGCTGATTGAAAAATAGGCCAAAACATTAATCTTATCATCCAACACTTAATCTTAAAGACACGTGACTGTTGCTAAGTTTTACAAACAAATATATAGTCCTTTCTTCAGTAAAAATACATAGAATCAATAAGTAGTCTTTACAAAGAGGGCAGCCAAGTCATCAGGCATTCAAAAAGCACAGTGCCTACACTGAAGTCACTTCTGATGGTGTCTGTGACAGGCCAAGATGACATCCAGAAGCAGGTCAGCTCCTGAGCACACCACAAATAATGTTCATAACCAGAAAGACATGAGACTGAAGATACATGGACTTTACCATGGCAGGCTCTCCAAGGAAACAAGGAAGCTGGTTGATGCTACCATCACTCATGTGCTTTGCCAGTATCTAGATCACCAAACATAGATGAGTCAATAAGCTGTTAGGCTGACACATGCACATATACTATGTACACAAGAGTCATGCACGTACACGTACAGAGAGCCTGTGATCTGTACACATACAATTAGAATATTTGTATTTCTAAAGTTGTTGCCCTGGTTAAAAATAGATGTTCTCAGCAGTGGTTATAGCCAATGGTGTCAATCTGTTTGCTTTTTCCAACTTTCTGTTTTGTACAACTACAGAAAAAAGATTGACAATATTGGGCCTCAAATTTATCCTGAGAGCTTTATTTATTTGAAACAGAGTTTCATGTATTACAGGTTGGCTTCAAATCCTGCATCTATCTCACAGTGTTGGGATTACAGGTATGTGTCACCATACTGGGTATACTCAGTGCTGGAGACTGAACCCACAGCTTCATGATTGCCAGACAAGCATCAGTTCACTAAAGTACAGCCCCAGAGGTATATTTAAATCTAGCATGAGCGTCTTCTCCTTCTTGCCTATTACCATCAACATTTTCCTGTGAGCATGCTACTTACAGTTAATCTTTGTGGTTTTTATTAGTAGTATTATTTTAAATTTAGTTATTTTACGTGCATAAGTATTTTTCCTGCCTGCATGTACATGTACCATGAGCTTGCTTACACCTGGTCGTGATCTAAGATATAGGTGCTTGGAACCAAACCCAGGTCTTCTGCAAGAAAAATGCTCTTAACCTCTGAGCCATCTTTCCAGGCCTAATCATTGTGTTTTAATTTGTATCTTGAAATAAAATGAATGTTTTCAGGGTTTTGTTCTTGTTGTTCGTTTATTTGTTTTTGTTTGTTTTTGGTTTTTTTGCAAGTTTGGCTACTTACTTCATCAAACGTGGTATATAGAATTGTTGACTGCAGAAAAGGGGAAGATATAAAAGAGAAACAATTAAAAAGAACAGTAGTAGTGTTATGCAAAATCAGAAACAGTTCCAGCTTCAGAAAATGCTGATGCTTTCGAGACATTATGAAGTTTAAAGGACAGTTTGGAAACAGAACTATCTTACATAATCACAATTCACATAAATGTTTGCTGTAACAGCAAATAAAACACGTTGTGCGCGCGCGCGCGCGCGTGTGTGTGTGTGTGTGTGTGTGTGTGTGTGTGCGTGTCTGTATGTTGTAAGGGGCTGAATCTGGTGTTTTACACATACTAGGCAAGTGCTTAGCTAATTATCTGCATTTAAAACTTTTAAATAGTCACAGAAAATTATCAACATAGTAACTATATTTGCAGTGGGTAACAGAAACACATAAACACATGTACCTCAGCTGTGAGCAGTCTATCAGGACATTTGTTAACTGCAGCAAAAACTCTCCTGAGTCCAGCTTCTAGCTGTGACAGCAACAATATGGTACAGTCAGCAAACCTGTGGGACCCGAGTATATCAGCAGTGTCACAGTAACTGCACTACAACCTCAACACAACTAATATGGCATTGAAAAGGGGGGTATATAACTTGCTAATGTCTGAAGCAATGACTTTAATGACTTTAAAACCATTTTTTTTGTGTGTTTTAAAGCTTGATGAAACATTTTTCGAAGTTTCAGCAGAACAAAATGTCATTAAGGATCTGTAAACAGTGCATGCCACTTCTGAGGATGCCAGAACAGCAGTGCTGCAAGGGGGAGCTGAAGAAAAAGTGAAACAAGAGTGAGATCACCTGAGGACAAGTAGTGACCAGCTCACTGGATCTCCAGTCTCTGACTCTCTGAAAGCATGCTGTGCCTGGCTTTCCCATGGCTTTTGTCTTTGAGGGAATATACAGGCCAGGCTTACCTGTCTCCCTCCCACACACCCCAACCCCCACCACTACAATTCCCTACTGATAGGTTCAATGTCTTACTTACAGTAAGAATTCAGAAAACTACTAAGAAGCTTATTCTAACAACAACAAAAAAGTTCTATCAGTGTCACCAAGAGGATGATGATACAGAGCACTTCAAACAGTCACAGCTTGTCTGAGTCACCAGAGGACGGTGTTCTGCACTCTGTCTAATCTGAGACCATCTCACTTCTACCCCCTCAGTTGGGACAGTAAACGAACTTTAGATGAAGAGCATCGAGCAGGCCTGGCATCTAAGCACCGAGAGCACCATGCCACCCTTGTTACCTGTGAGACTTGAACTTGCTCACTGCCATTTCCCAATATGGCAACATGATTTTTAATAGAAAGTTGGATTTTGTCATCACTGTCTCTAATGCGGAGAGTACCTCATAAGTCACATCTGCAAAAGAGCAAGTATCTTTGTAAACACAACCACAGTCAGCAACAGAAAGATGTTAGGAACACATGTGGACAGACATGCCAATCAGCCAGCACCCTGGGGCAGATGAACTGTGGCCTGGAGTAGAACATCCCTAAAAAGGGAGAGCACCTGGCCTACAGCTACAGTGGAGTGGCTTCAAGAAGTTGCCAAGAGGAAAAATGGAAAACTGATCTCTTCAGGGACTTGCGCTCAGGGTACCCTAGTTGAGGACACTGACCTAGCGGAATAAGATGTATTCTCAGAAGCTACAGCAACTTTCTACTGTTGGCACAGCTGATATAATGGCCACAAGTACAGATGCAGACAAGGTGAGAGGAAAGAAGAACAGATACCATGAATGCCCCTAAGACTTCTGCATGGCAGCACATCTGAGGAAGAGTCCAGCTCTAGCTGTGACTCTCAGGGCCAATAGCACCCCAGAGCAGTGGGAAGGGGTGAAGTTTAAAAGGGTCTTCCAGTAACTCACAGAGCCATCTTGCCAATGTCGAGCGAGTATTTCACCAAGAATTCAAGTCTGATGCTACTTACGAACTGCAAATACCTCCGTAAAGACATAGTAAGGGGGGAGTGTGAAATGTAGAACTTGCCAGGAAAAACAATCACATCCTCTAAGTTTGTGAGTGTTACAAAAGGTCGATGTGCCAATGTGACTTTTGTGTGCTGAAGGTAACTCTTCAGTAACTGACCCAGTCCTGCCGTCAACAGCAACATGGCTGAACAGTATCTAGGGAAGGAGACAGAGATCTCCTGGAAAATGAACATAGCCACATACAAAGAACTTTTCTTAGACAGAGGTATTAAAATTATGCAAGGAGGAGGGCTGACATGGATCAGTGGGGAAAGGCATCTGCAGCCAAGCTGGATGCCCGGAGTTCAATCCCTAGGCCTGCATTTGGAAGGAGAGAACCAATCCCCACCATTGCCCTTTGACTTCCACACACATGCTGTGGCATATGTGGACGTGAGTAAATGAATGTAAAAACGTAAGGGGATTAAGAAAGGAAGTCATCAAATGTCAGAACTCTCCATAGATGGAATTAAGCTGTACAATAACTGGGAAGGCTAGTACCATATCAAAATGCATGGGCTTTCTATCTATCCAGGCACCTACGCTTGTTCCTAGGAGCAAAGGCACTGAAACACATTCTGTCCCACTGCAGTTGCTCTGCTGTTGACGTGCAACTTGATGGTCCATGTCTCAAACTTTCTCATCTTTCACAAAGAATCCTTTCTTCTTGTAAAATTCAAAATATAGCAAATTCTTAAGCAGATTAAGGAAAAAAGTTACTTAACCAGCAACTTACTTTGGAGGAATATCTTGAGGGGAAGCAAAGCCATGCCACAAGATGTTTCTGAGGTTGAGTCCACAGGGAGAACCGATGAAGACTTTTAGTACATCCATCTAATCCATTAAGACGGCAGATTACTGAATTGTGGAGTAAATCGATTCAACCCTAAAATGTTTGCTTTCTCCCTTAGATCTAAGAAAGCCAGCAGCTTCTGCTAGTATAAATAGTAACAATAATGAAACTAACACAAAAATATTATTACATTTTTATTCAGTATGTGCCAATGTCTAGAGGTCAAAGGACAACCTGAAGGAATTGATTCTCTGCTTCCACCAAGTGTGTGCTAGGGTTTGAAATGTTGTCAGCCTTGGTGGCAGTCACGCACATGCGCGCGCGCACACACACACACAAACTATGACACTATAAGTCTGAATGGCTGCAAAAATCATAAATTCTGACCTGTTAAAAACAGAAGTATTTTAGGAGAAAACTGTAATACTACCATTCCAAAGTGGTAAAGGGAGTCTATGTCAGACTTAGTAATATCATTAGGAATACTTAAATGAATAAAGTGATATACTTCTAACTGCCTCACTGGCTGGACCTATATGGTTATTCTATCATCATCAAATCTGGCCTTGTGAAATATGAGGAAGAAGGACAATTCCAGAAGGAAGAGAGAGGAACATGCTTAACTGGTGAAATAGTTAATGTCTCCCAGAGCACTGTAGCTCTGGAAGCTCAGAAGGTCATGCCCGCTACTCTGTGCTTTATGTGTAAACTGCACGTACCACAGCATGTCCAAAGACTTGTGCAAGCTCTGCAGATGCAAGAAGATCTCTTAGGAGAAAAGGGCACTCTTTCCCAATCAGTAAAAATACCTAAAATTCAAACAGAAATCACATAATACTTACGTGATAATCAGCAGTAATATTTTTAAGACAGAGCAAAATGTATGAAGCATTGTAAAAAAAAACAAAGAAGAGTATTTGGATGAAGATTTCCTCCCCCACACCCTCTGTGTGTGTGTGTGTGTGTGTGTGTGTACACAAGTTGGGGCTGCACATGCCTAGGGGCCAGAGAAAGGCAGCATCCTCCATCACTCTCTACCTTATTCCTTTGAGACAAGGACTCTTATTGAAACTGGAGCTAGAGTGAAGGCCAGGAGGCTTCCCTTATCCCCTCTGTCTCCATGCCCTCTCCCCGCGGTGTGGTGTTACAGGAGGTGTAGAAGCAACCGTACAAAGCTTTTTATTTTTTAAACATAGGTGCTGTAATCTAAGTTCAGATACTCATGCTTATGAAGCAAATATTTTTATCTACTGGGTCATCTCCCAGCTCACAAGAACTAGGATTTCTTAATCATGTATGAAGAGAATCGCTGTATTTTACAGCAAAACAATAATAAAAAGAGATCTGAAGTTCTTGTGTTCATCCAAGTAATCTAGCGAACAAGGAGGACTCGCATACTTACATCGCCTAGGGCTCGTTCCAGACAGGAAGCTAGTTTCATCACGCTGAGGGAGATGGCAGCAGACGGCAAGCTTTCCAAAGCATCAAATATTTCAAGAAACAACTATTCAGAGGAAGACACACATTAGAGTTCAGACTCAATGAAAGATGTTTCTCAAAGCAACAATAATTTTTATTCATTTACTATTACTGAGCTCAAGCCTCTTAAGATGTAAACATTTTACATTTTTGGAATAAGAATAGTTTATATTAAAATGCTATAATAAAGAAAATTATTTAATAACTAAAAGCCTCTTTGAAAATCCTTTAAATATTTATCCAAAGCACAAATTTGGTGTAATAATGAATTGAAACCAAATATTCATTTCCTATAATGATTTTTGGTTTAGTTCCTCTATAAGGCAGCTGACCTAACTGTTTTGGAATCAGATAGTCCTTTAACATGTCAAATGAAACACAGAAAATGCAAAGCACCCAAGATTTGCATTAGGTCTTACCTCATATTACTACTTTCTTTTCAATTCACTGTTAAGAAAGCAAGCGCCTGCCCTCTCATCTCCTAACCTTGTCATCTCTCTGGGAGGTCTGTTCTGTATGCTCAAGTGGACTGTATCTTCTTAAGCCTAATTAAGCCCAAAAGTAGTTCAAAGAACTATCGTCAACTCAGGCTTCAGATATAAACTACTCTGGCAGTCCCTGGGAACTGTTCAAAGTTGGAAGGTATAGTAAGCATAGTAAAAAATGCTTTTTATACATGAAAAAATAATCTCGTCAGGATCCCCACTACATCCAAAGCTGCACTTGATAACCAGAATTCAGTTACATCACCCACTCAAGATAACTAGACACAGGCCTAGAACCCCACGACAACCACTGGACAAGTATATAAGCAGAGGCTAAGAGCAACGTTCTGCTCTGCACAGAGAGACGTCTGGAGAGGCGACACTGTGATCTGCCCTGCAGTAGAAGGGTCTCCCCAGGATCCTGACCCTCAAATCAGAGACTTCTGTTAAAGACTGGACCTGACTTTCAGCTAGGATATGTCACATAGTTGGGGAGATAGGCTTAGGGCTGTAGTTAGGAATTTAGAGTATAAATATTATGTGATGACCCTCAGCACAATAAAATATAACTTTTGTTATAATAACTACGTGTATCTACCTGCTTGCTTGTGACAGTAAGCCAAAGACAGAAAAGATATCCTCAACTTGGCAAGTAACAAGGATTCCAATTTGTAAAGTTTTCATTTCTTTTTTTTTTTAAAGAGATTTATTGAATGTATATGAGCACACTGTCCTTGACACACCAGAAGGGGGCATCAGATCCCATTACAGATGGTTGTGAGCCACCATGTGGTTGCTGGGAATCGAACTCAGCCAGTGCTCTTAACCACTGAGCCATCTCTCCAGCCCCAAGTCTTTCATTTCTAAAGAGACACAAATGTCAAACCTCTGGATAAGTTGTCCACTGGTACCATGGTAAATACTGAATTTCAAACTGTGCTCTGGTCAGTGATGAGATGTGTAGATGGATGGCCTCACACACTGGACCCAACTGCTGCACACTTTGCCTGTAGTCCAGACTTTGCCCTTATAGGAGGAGAAAATGTTTTAGCTCCACAGCTCTATGTCAAGGGATGAAAAAAATCTAAGTCAGAGAAAAGCTTTAAGTATAAAACGTCCACAAAAATCAAGCAGCTTATAACTGGATATATAGTAAGTATATATGCAGTTCAGTAGAAATGAACCGTAAAAGGTTTTACTACCAATACAGAATGTGTAGCTGTAGGTTTAGTTGCTCTTGATCAACTACAAAAATGTAGAATCTGAGAAATAACTCATATTGTCAACTAGGCACTGTTCTGTGTAACATGATGAGAGGTGCTACCCCATTCTGTCTTGTCTTTTATCCAGAGAACCCATGCTGTATATATAGCTAGTAACTAGTGAATCCAAGCCCTAAAATACTAGATTAGTCTAGTATCTCTTAGGCCCTGCCTCCTTGGCCCTCCTGCTTAGATTATTCCATTAACTAAGCATTTCTCGACTTTTGATTATTTCTCCTCTGATTTACAACTACACTATAACACTCTTCAAGAAGAACAAATGAAAGTTTTGCTGGACAACACATTTTTAATGTGAAAGTACTAATAGAAGCTTGATGTACAAAGAGAATACAAACCTAATTCTGCATAGCTCACACAGTCTGTAATTGCTTTCCAGAGTACTTCACCATTTTGAGTTACAATGCTATTGATATCACAAATTTCTGTGAGTTCAAACCCAAGGTTACAAATCAAGTCATGCACTAAAGGAGAAAGGCATGTGGTAATGGAATCCTCTGTTAAAATCTGAAATATAAAACATAAAAGGCACTGTTACGTTCAAGTGGAAAAATCCGACCTTAAGAACAGACTGAACTAAGGCATGGCAGCTGTTAATATGCTTTCTGGATACCATAATAGCTCTATGTATAGAACAGTGCTTAGACACTAAGGGTATTTTATGTATCTGTTTTAAATGTTCATTCAGAAATGATATCGTTTCATTAATCACACTTGCTGACTCTGGAGTTCGGAGACTCGGTGGGTTTTCTGAACAATGTGTCGCTCCTTTCGGGATTCTTTTATTATATCGCAGCTATCAAAATCAGAGATACTTTTCAGGGAGTGTGGTAAGAGAAAACCTAGCATCCTGAATTCGGTATGAAACACAACTTCCGGCCCAGAAGCACTGAATTAAGGGTGTAGAGTGATGGATGCCAGCCCTGAGGTGATTCACCTTTTTCATTTTTTTCATAACCCATCCCATCAAACACAGTGTTCTGTAGATCGACTTCCCCTGTAGCTTGTAAGCCCACCCGCACTCTCGCGTGACAGTATCTCCCTACAGGCCTGCCTCGACGGACTCCCGGAACAACTCAGAAGGTATGCAATGGGACCCAGCGCTCCGCCCTACCTCCATCGCTTCCGGCTCGGGTCGCGGCGCTCGCTGATGACTAACACTCCCCACGTCCCCGGCTTCCGGGATACGGCGCTCTCTGATGACTCAGGCACCTCTCCTCTCTTCTTCTTGACTCACGCGCCTCTCTTGGCCGGCTTCCGGGACGCGGCTGCGCGCGGCGCAGGCGCGAGACTAGTACTCTGCGGCGTCTCTGCCGGGGCGTTAGGCCGCTACACGGCGGAGGGAGGCGAGGCGTCCAGGGGAACCGATCAAGATGGAGCGGCGAGGCCGAATGGCGAAGACGCCCTCCAGCCAAACGCACCAATCCCCGGTGTCGTCTAAGAGAGAAAGGAGGCCTAGCATGTTCGAGAAGGAGTCAGTGAGTGGAGACCGGAGGCCCAAGGCAGCCTTCCCACCCTTTAGATGACGCTGGTTCCCTGTCTGCACTCGGAACCCAGGACGGCTGGCTGCCCTTCTTCCGTTTTTCTGACCATCGGGAAACTGAGTTTAGGTGGAACAACGTCGTTTAGATGTTGAAGGCCCAGGATTTTTTGTTGTTAAATCCAAAGATTTTACACAGGCATCCTCAATTATTTTCAGACTTGCAAATGCCCAAAGTTATCTAGTAGTTGTATTACACCTTATAAATGCAATTTTAGTATATACATAATTTACCAACGTATGCACAGTAATATACACAAGCGCACACACATACCTGGGGGAGAGAACTGATGTGCTGATAACGAAGTGCTTTTAGTTTTAAAGAGTATTAGTTATTTGAAGAAGATATAAGAGGAAAAACTTAAGATATTTATTTATTTCGAGGGAAAACATTTTGTACAGGATGCACAAGTAACTGTGCTGAGCTTAGGACCCCTGGTGGTTTCTTTTCATACCTACTTCACGTGGCTCATGAGTTATTGGTAGGATGAAGCTAGCTATAATGGAAAACACAACTTTTGGAGTTGAACTATTTCAGGATGGCCCCCAAGTGATGGCAACACTTAAGGTTTTAATATCTTTTTAGTGTCAGTGTTTTACAGAGGGGGAAAAAAACAAATAGAAAAGTAAGCATGCTGAATTCACACACCTAGGGAAAAGCAGAACATTGAGCTATGCCTGATTGCCAAACATTATACTATCTTAATGTTTGGGTTCTGAACACTAAAGATTTCTATACTTTGAGGCAGACGAGTGATTCTATGCTATGAGTCTACTGCCAATTTTGAAAGTTGGATGAGCCCCAACCCCAAAATACACATTTAGTAAAATCTAGAAGCAAGGGTGCATGGAGCAAGGCATCGTATTTGATCGATCTGTATTTATATATCTATATTTCTTAAGAATCTAGCCTTCTGAAGGTAAAAGCTTTGAATAGGCCAGTAATTAAGAATTTAAAACAGGCCGAGCGGTGGTGGCACATGCCTTTAATCCCAGCACTTGGGAGGCAGAGGCAGGCGGATTTCTGAGTTTGAAGCCAGCCTGATCTACACAGTGAGTTCCAGGACAGCTTGGGCTATAAAGAGAAACCTTGTCTCGAAAAAACAAACAAACAAACAAACAAACAAAAAAAGAATTTAAAAGAATTCCACGTTTACTAACCCTAACACCAAAAGTTGATTTCAACTTTCAAGTGGCCAGTGGTTTCTGTATTTCTGAGAATATGAAAACTCAAGGCACTTGAATCAATATGAGCACCACTTGATTGTACCTACCCTGTATCCATTTATAAAAAGTTACTTTTTTTTTATATGTATGTGAGTTTGGGTGTATGGATATGCACCATGTTGTGAGCCAACACGTGGTTGCTGGGAGTCACTGGGTCTTCTACAAGAGCTGCTGAACTCCTTGTGTCCCTCTCTTCTCTAGTGGTAGTGCTTTCAGAGAAGTAGCTCACCTCACATTGGGCAGGGCTTCATTGGTTTAGATGACTACTCAGACTTTGTAGGGGTGAAACCACGTTAGGTTAATGAACTAAGAAAGGACAAGGTTTATTATAATGGCAGATGCAAAGTGGAATGTTCTGTCTGAATTACTCCATCTTTCCAGTAAAAGTATACTTTTGCTTAGGAGGAGTTAGGTCATTGTAACCAAAGATTATAAAACCTTAAGAACATTATTAAAAATTGGCAACTTTATCAGTCTCTCAAGCATATGTATTTGAAAACCATAAATGTTAGCAAATAACAGTTTTGCTAAATAATTGAATATCTCATTGGAATAATTATATGAGTAAACTCAGTTTGTTTAAGTTTATTTAAGTAGGCTCCATATACATAAATGCCTGTCAGTAGCTAGTTTTGATAACAAATTTGATGTTATTTCAAACGATTATAAAGGTTTCATATTAACTGAAAGAATAAAATACTTTTAATAAGTGTAATAAATCATGTAACCAGTATTATCCATAAAGAAATGTCAGAAATGCAATTTTAAAAGGAATAGGTTCATTAAGGGTTAATTTGAGGCTCCATGTGTTCTATTCCCAGAAGAAGCATCCAGCCTTGAAAACTGGTAGTGATAGTGCATTAATAGCTGTATCCCTTGAGTATATTGTAGTTCAAGAGAAGATAGTAGACACTTCTTAAGAGACAGGTTGAGTTATCTTTCCATACATAAATACAATGTCAGATTATGTACAGTGAATAGAATTAACAGGTACAGTATCACAGAAGACTAGCATGAGGGAGGGGAAAGTTCTAGAAAGGTATTCAGTCAGTAAAGTGCCTTAATAGTTTTGCTATTTGAGTCCCTAAAGAAAAAGAAAGAGTAACAGATAATAGATGAAAAGTCACAGATATGGAAACCAAGCCTTTAAACCAGAGTCTCAGGGAATTCTTAGACATAAGAAACAGGATCTCCTGCCAAGGCATATTTGAAACCAGTGATAAGAACATTTTTAAGGAAACTAGGAAAGAGAAAATAGCAGGCTTCTCAGAAACAGTCTGAATTAGGAACATCATCTTTACTGAAAGAAAACTAGACCTAGAATATTATACTCAGCTAAAATAAAAACAGACCTAGAATGCTATACCCAACTAAACTAAAACTAGACTCAAAATATCACACACAGCTACAATATATGTCAACAGCAGAATTCTAAGCTCTTAATGTAAAGAAGTTGAAGTCCTTATATCTTAAATAACAACAACAACAAAAAAATGGCAAACAGAAAATCAGTTCTTACATTAGAAAAGAGATTATAGGACAGATTGCTACCACAAAAATTAGTGATGTTACAGAGACTCAACACACCAAAGCTCAAACTTTTAGTGATAGGCTATGAAAACCTGAAATGTAACTGATGAATTATTAGAGTCCCCCACCCCCATGTGTATGTGGTATATGTATAATTCATATATGAATATATACATATATGTATTAGTTATTAATATTTAATAAGTTAATTTAAATATATGAGTTAAAATTTCCAGAGAAACTTAGTCATTGAGCAGTCTTGCTTTTAGCAGGGGTTTGGTGGTGGTGATGGTGATGTGTGTGTGTATGTATGTGTTTATGGTCTTCAGAAAATCTGTCCTCTTGAGAAATGAGTAAACTAGACTTAAGCTCTTGAGATTTGCAAAGGTGACCTATTGAAAGGGAACCAACTCCAGCTCTTCCTAGATTTTCTGTTCTTAAGGAAGAGAGAAGAAGTGGAGACAAAATACTTGAGAAAAAATTGAAAATACACAGTCCATAGGCACAGGTTCATTTCAGACCTAAGACCTAACCATAGGATTTAGACTACATCCTTTTCTCCTGTGCATTAAAACCACATTAACTTGAGGCCTTTTATAGAAGTTCTCACACTATGAATTGGTCTGACTAACAAGAAAAAAATGACAAGGCATACTAGATGGAGAACACCACAGAGAGAGTAAGCACTAGATCTACACACTGCAGGAATAAAGGTATCAATATAAATGTTAACAACAACTGAAAACACAGGCTGAAAAAGGGAGAAGAGTGTTTAAAATTTTTGAGGCAGTTATAAAATTTGTAAAATTTATTCAATTCCAGATAGAAAATGGAATATAAGAAATAAATGGTCCAATAAATTAAAGTAATTCAGAGGCCATGCCACAGTGTCACGAAGGTCAGAGAAAATGGCAGAAAAACATGCCAAAACAAAATCTGTATGTAGGCATATATTCTCAAACTACAGAAATTAAAGATGAAGAAAAGTCCAAAAAGAAGCCAGAAGACAAAGACACTAACTATAAAAGAGAATTACATTCATATTCTCACAAATTATAAATAGAGTGAAGTAAAAGTATTCAGAGGAGAAATGTGTCAACCTAGGATTTTATACCCTGCAAAACTACTCTCAAATGAGAAAAGATTTTTGAAAAAAAAAATGAAATTTATCTCCAATAAACCTTCCTTTATCTCCAATGAACCTAACATTTGTTACACAAAATGTTAACAAAAAAGTCAATAAAAAGGAAATCAGATAAATTTGAATCTAGATAAAAGAGTGTCAAAGAGAGTAAATGAAGGTTAATTGAAAAACCTTTAACGTTCCTCTTTTAACTCTAACAGCTGTTCTGAACTTGTTGGAGGTTGCATATCAGTTACATTATGATTCATAACAGCTGCAAAATTACAGTTATGAAGTAGCAATGAAAGAATTTTATGGATGGGAGTCACTGTAATAAGAAGAGCCATCCATGTTAAAGGGTTGAGAACCACTGCTGTAACAGATGATAGTTTGTTAAAAAAAAATAAAAGGAAGGATATATAATATTATATTTGCACATGAATACATGTTAATGTCCACAGAGGTGAGATGAATGTCAGTTTAAGAAAAGGAGAGGGAAGGAAGAACTTGAGTCATTTTAACATGTGCAGTTGAAGTGTTAGTTGAGTATGGTTGGACTAGCTGCACATGTGTATTTCCAAAGTCTACAGCTAAGAGAGGAGGTCAAGGAAGAGGAACTAACGAGCTGATG